TTTAAATTACCTTGTTGCAATCTTGTAATGATGATGACAATATTAATGACGATGATGACAATGATGATGACCTTGATTATGATGCTTTGTGCTATAAGACCCAACTTGAAACTCTTAGCACCATTTGAACCTTTGCTCAAACACTTACTAACAACTTTGTGAATGTTGTAAGGTTGTTATTCCAAGGTATTCAGATCTAGTCCCCAGGCTCCAGTATTTAGCATGTCACTGTGGTCATGACAGAAGTGCAGAGAGTGGGGCCCAGTGTCTGGCTGGGATAATTAACAAGTTGCCTGAAGGTAGGCAGTTGTTGTGGACTTTCTTGTTTTTGTGTTTCTGCAGTGATGCACTTACGAGTGTGGGAAAGATCAATATTCTTACCATGTGCCACGTTAGATTTGCATGAGAGAGCCGCAATGTTGCTCAGCTCTGCGGCCTGTCTTGTCTGTCTTAAATCGCTCAGATTTGATGATTCTCCAAAATCACAAAAAACAACTCTATTCGGAAACGTTGTCCTTTGCTTTCTTTGTTTTCTGAATTTTAGAAGGCATTATTCAGCTCTTCATCAACTAGTCTTTTTGCTATTATACGGGTCGAGTTTTTGTAAATAGGCTAGTAAGTTCTCGTACAGATCAACACCAAAGATAGCAAGAGTTTCATCATTAGTGAAAACCGTTTGTCCAGTTCCTTGTGTTTTATGATGTTTTTTTTTGTCTGGTAGGTGATGAGTTAACTTCACTGGTAAACGACTTGATGAGCAAAATATGGCAAGTCAGTGGCAAAGAGGACTCACTAAAACGAGCCACAGTAACTTGGCTTTGGGTGTGTGTTTAGTTTGCCATTCACCTTTTTTCAATCACGTCGCGTGTGTTTAATATCTAAATAAAATGTGCTTTGAAAACAAAAATCTTTCAAACATTTTCTAAGTGTATACGGTTGCTTGGCTGATAAAACAAACTAGTTTGTCACTGTGTTATTCCGACAGTCCACGGACACAAGGAGACAACAAGAACTAAGATTATATCTTTAGTACTGATTTTTTTTCTTGCAGTTGACTAAAGCAGTAGTGATCCGCTCTCACGCATTAGCACCTAAATTTATTGAAAAGGTAAGTGACATTTTTGGTTGGTAATATTAATGTAACAAACTGAAGGATACCATGTCTCTTTAGACTAAGAAAAGGCCCTCCTTTAGGCTGTCATTTAATTGTTACTTGATGGAAATGGTCGTCTTCGTACGAAGCCTTCTCAATCGGAAGTGGTCCCTTCGTATTCCCATTACTCTCTGAAAGACGGACCTTTTGCATTATAGTTTGACTTCAAAATTACACTCCCCCTGCACCCAAGCGTACTGAACTTGTTTTCTTGTTAGGCAATACGCAAGAAAACGTACAGTGCCTAACTAGCTAATGCTGCAATGGTAATTTGGGTCGCTTTTTGCCAATGGTATGGTTGAATTATCCTCGACTCAGTATTATGCTAACTGAAAAGATTTCAAAACATAAGTTACTAACAATGTCCGGTGGGAGGGAGAGAGGGAGGAAGGGAGGGAGGGAGGGGAGGGGAGGGTCAAGAATGCATGACGATTGTTGGGACGGAACGTGTGACCACCCACAATCCCTAGAGCCTACAGTGGCAGTACCGGTATTCACATGTAATTTTCTGGTAGGTTTTTAGTTTGCTGGTTGATAAATATGTTGGCCGTGTCGCAGCAGATGGTTTCTATATCATCATGGCGGATTATGAAGAAGTCATGAGTGTTAAAATGCATGTTAATTACAGGGTGAGTTGTGATTCGTAATCTACTTTAACTCTCTGTGGTTTAAGTCTATTTTGGAAGAATTTGAAAATGAAAGGAGGTTGCATGATGATAATAATAATAATAATAATAATAATAATAATAATAATAATAATAATAATAGTTGGTTTTGTGTTTATTATGTATTTGTCAGAGTGAGGGTTCAAAACTGTTTCCTTCTTGTTCTTGTCAGATGATGTACCGTCAGCGGCTTTTCATGGAAACTGCTCCCAAGTTAATACAAGGATTTCACTCTGCAGAGCCAGGTAGGCTATATACCCCAGCAGGGCTGAACTCAACTTATATGTTGAAGTTATCCTGAGAAATTCTACAACGTTTATGTTGTGGGCGACCTTACCCTGTGTACAGATATAAAACAATTTTCTTCATTTTAACCGAAAGTTTTGTATAATTGGTTTATTTAAAAGGATGTCCTATATTTTTAATCTGATTCTTGAACTGGCCCATTTCTGTGAGCTTTTCTCATTGTAAATAGAGGTTTTGAGGACTGGACGGTGGGGTTGGGTTAGGTTATGGGAGTTGAGGGCGAGGTTGAGATAAGAATATTGGCGACCGAAGAAGGAGAGAGTTAAAAGGGACGAGTGTTAGTTATTGTACTGTCCAAACCAGTCTGTTCATTTATCTATACTCCTTGCGGTGTTTCTCTCTGCAGACGTTAAGCATCATTACCTTTGTGCGCTGTCTCATCTCCTGCAGTGGATCCCAAAACAGGTTCTACTCACCGAGCTGCCAAATGTAAGTAACATCACTAGCTTGATGAGTCGTTTCAGGGCTTAGAAAAGAGTTGATTTTCCGAATCACAGCAATCACTTAAACCACTTTGGCCAATCAAAACATATTAACTCTGTCTTCTTTTGTCCGCCTCAGTTGATGCCGCTATTGGTTCAATCTTTGTCCTGTGAGGAACAGAGTTTGAGGCTGTCCACATTACAGACCTTGTATTCACTAGTGCTGGATGCTCCTGAGATTATTACACGTCACGTGACTTCATTAGTTCCCATGCTCCTGGGATTGTCAAAGTTTCAGCTATCAATGGTAATTCATTAGTATAGACCTTAAGTATATTTGTCCTTCGTAAATTAGAGAGAAGCAGCACAACACCTTGTTGTCAACTACTGTTAGTAGGATTTTTAGCAGCTCTGAAAAATGGTTCAGTCTCATGAGACCCAATTATAGTGGATGGATTTTTGTAGAACGAGACTTAACCTGTTAGCTAATTATACCATCAGGACTTGAAATGGCAGGTCTGATAGTTTACTAAAAATGCTTTTGAATTGGCAGGAAACGTCGTGTAAGCCTGCCATATGCAATACGTACATGCTGTTTTTGTGATTTTAGTTCTATTTTCCTCCCATTCTCAGAAAATTCGAATGGAAGCTCTCAAGTGTTTGGGAGCAATGACAACTTTACCTCACCATGCGGTAGGTTTCTCTTGAGTTTGTTTTTCTTCCTGGTCTGGTCCTGGACGTATCAGCTCTTAATATGTGTTTGACTATTTTCTAATGTTACCTGGCAGGTGTACCCTTACAAAACCAAAGTATGTAGAGCGTTAGCTGACTCAGTCGATGATAAAAAGAGATTAGTCCGAAAAGAAGCAGTGAAATGCAGAAACGAATGGTAAGACTCCTGTGTATTTTTGCGTGAATATTTTAGTACTCTGAGAAAGGTTTGTTCATGTCTTTAACATCGATGTAGCATACCAGAGGTACAGACTTTTAACTGTCCGTGCTGTAGAGGTAGTGTTTATATAATTTTGTTTCTCTTGCTGTAATAACGTAACTCGTAAGTTTCAGGGGTGCGCGCAATGAAAACCTCCTGGCGCCTACATATCTTGTGTGTGGGTCAGTAATAAAAACGCGTCATATTTATCTCTTTCTGGTAATGAAGGTTTGGCTGTACTATGCTAACATTGAATAATCTTTTTTTTTTAATTTTTTAATTTTTTTCTATTGTTGTTCTTTAATAGGTACCTTCTGGGCAGTTCCACGAGATAGCACTCGCTGATTTTGTGGAAATAGAATTAACAGAATGGTTGCGTTACAAGAACAGTAGCAGGTGGCCCCACCCCCGCACTGCTGTCCAGCCATTCTAGGTCTTCATCCAGTGCCTAGGGATACGAACATGTTATGGATTTAAGAGTTGATTTTCGTTTATCTCCGGTAACATGAGAGCAAAGAACAGTGACTCGCTACTACGTTGATTTGAGGACCGGTGACTGACCCTTAATAGTTATTTTCGCTTGGAACGCCAGGAAAGCACAATATCTCAGCTCTTTCGAGCTTCCTCGTGTCTTGAGCATCTTCCCAGAAAACTGTTGTACAAGCAATGTCAAGATCAACATTGACGTTAACACCTGAAGAAGCATTTGTACTCAGCTGGACGAACTGGAAACTCAGTAATCCGATTGCTTAATCACGTGACTTTTCCTGCTGATGATAAACCAGCGTGCCTATGAAGTGATCCCTTTGGTTTATATCATCTCTTTGATCGGATGATGAGAAACAGATACTCCTGAAGTAGTAGTCCGCAGTATTTTAATATTTAACAATTATTCACAGAAGTGGAGGTGAATAGTGGTGGATATTTACCGAGCCGCGAAGC